CTTCTGCCTACTGCCATAATCCCAGGACATAAAATGAAGCATAAAATGATATTATACCTTGATATAAGAGGTGTGATTAGATATACCTTAAAGTGACAAACTGATATCCCAGACAATTCCAGTGGTCTCAACTCTGATGAACTTAAGCCTTATTCAGAAACCCCACAGACCAGTGCTACAGCACCCCCTTTCATACATGTACCTCCTACATAGCAATCCAATGAAACAGTGCGTAAAACTTCTATTCTGCCAGATCTGGTTTTAAATTAGCTCATTAAAACCTAGCGCTCACAGTGCTCAGAAAACAGAGGGAGTAAGAAAGCTGCTTCTCCCAAAGCTATCATTACAGAGCACTTCAATCTGCTGAGGGCTACTGAATTAACAGCAGATGGGCAAAAGCAGGAAGCAAGTTACACTACAGTTTATCAGTTTAGAAGATGTGTAAGTACTGCTGAATAGGGATTAAAAAAAAAAAATTCATTCTGACCTTACAAGGGCCAAGTCTCCCTCTCCAAAGTCACAGCATAACGAAGTAATAGCTGCTCTTCATTTACTCAAGTGTTTCTCAAGGCATGTTCAGTGACTTCTAACACAGCCTTATAGCACACAAAAGGAAATTGGTTATTTGTATGTTATCCAAGGAAGGCTGAGTAATACACTGTGGTAGGAAAGACCTCTAAAAATAAGTCACCTCTCAGCAGATTCACTCCCTTCCTGTCTGGGTTTGAATCAAGTTTGCAACTGCATGAAAGGACAAAGCTTGAGGATGAACTATGGAGAACTTCTGTAATGATCACACCATTCAAATACATTCATCTCCCTCCTACTCCGTTTAAAAGAATCCAGTTATTAGGGGTGGAGCAAGGTAGTGACCCAACAGGATGTGCGTTACCAGAGTTCCTCATGTGTAGCCTCTGGCTTTCATGTTTATTTTTGGATGTATTTTCCTTTGTGCTTTGAAGTAGTTGTCCTGGCAAGGTGGCTAGCACTGCAATCACTTATACATGCTAAGGAAGGAAAGCAAGCCTCATCAACACAAATAGTATTTTTTTCCTACAGAGTCCTAGATTATCTTGGAAGTCTACAGTGTTGTAACAGTAAGTTACTTTTTTTCATGTTTATTAGTGCTCTTCATACACCGAAGCCAGGGATAATCGGTGCACAAAGGAATGTCACCAGTGATCCCCATAACCTACTAGTTCTTCTTCAGGGAACAGTGTTCAGCTGTGTGAGAATTTAGTGTGAGATTTCATCATTTTTAATCCACTGTAACAGCATTGATAGACTAGTCTCCAAGGATGAGTAACAGAGAAGATCAACAGATGTTCCCCAACAGGATGCTACTTCAACAGACACAGTCATTAGAGAAAAAACTGGCCCATTTTAATTGGTAATTGTTGTTATCAGGACAGCTGTTATTTGTTTTGACCAGCATCCCCTGACTGATAGATATGAAGGTCACAGAAAATCTTTCTGTTCTTAAAGGGCTTACTAAATATGGGGCTGCATGTAATACAGAAGGATCTTACTGCATTTTTGATAAATATCCTATCTTTTCCTCAGAGTATTTAAAGTTATAAATCTAGCAGATTAATACTGCCCAAAAAAAAGGTCAGTTTAGTAGTAGCTATCTCTTTTTTTCAGGTATAGACACAACTACAGTTGTACTCATAGAAATTAATACCTTTGCTATATATTGTGCATTAAACACACCAATAAAACACATCTAATCTGGGAATCATCCTACCAATACGACTGCTTCTTAGAGCAATACAGCTAATATGGGATAAGTTACTTCTCAATTTAAACAAAACTCAGAAAAGTCTGCAAATTCGCAGTATGACATTTCAGAGATCCTGAAAATTCTTTCTAAACTTAGAAACAATTAAAATAGATAATCTTTCTCTCAAAACCTAGTTTTAGGATATATACTAAAAGTTTCATAAGCAGCATAATGGATATGTACTTGTCTTTCAAAGAGCTACGTAGATTTGAGGTACAAAATATTTGTTGCAAATGTGAACCTCATCAGTAGACTTCAGGATTAACCAACTGTTAGTGTTAAGAAGAAGAAGGATACTTCACAGCTTTTAGTCCTAGCATTTCAGATTAGTTGCACAGTAAATTAAAGTCAATACTGAATCAATTTCTGTTGGTTCATTTTCCAAGATTACATTCACAATCTAAAAATAAGAAAAAATATTTTAAATTGCAGTATTGGATTTTCTTTCTTCTGTAGGCCAAAAATCCTTATTTGGTTAACAGAGTTTTGATTTTTTCTTTCCCTCAAAACAAGGAAATAAATTTCCTCAAAAATGAATTTTTTGGGGAAAAACAAACAAATGAAAAAATAACATATATTGTATTTTTGCACTTCTATTATTAATCATAAAAATTCTACATACATAACATCAGTTAACCATTTTAAGGATACTAACCCTACAATTAATTTCAGTTGTTCTTATACTACATTATTACATTATTTTGGAATTATTCAACTTTTTTTTTTTCTGGATAAACTACTTCTTTTTATGAATTAAATTCTTTTATGTGGAGAGCTGAAATTTGCCCACAGTAGATTCTAGCTTTTATAATATCTGGAATGTAATGAACTGACATTGTTGCCTTTCCCCATTTTTCAATGGTACCATATGTATTAAATAACTGTGATCCACTCTTGACTTTGTATGGGTTTTCATTAAACACAATTAAAATCTGAATGACACGTAAGAATTAACAGTTTCTTCATACAGACCTTGTCACAGTGAAGATATATGAATCTTAGGATAAGACAGAAAGAACAATGCAGCATCCAAAACATAAAAAAAAGTCTCCCTTTAGAAATGTATTTACTTTTCTTCAGGTAACAATAATATTAACAACAATATACTGCTGGTGCTACTGCTAATATATTTTGAGAAAAATTTCTTACATAATTTTCCGTCTATTTTAAACATTCTCTGTTTATCACGTTAGCTGCAGTTTATGCAGACTTCAGGATTAGTAGGTTGCAAGGAAATAAATACAATCTTGAAAAAATGGACAATTTTATTATATCTGAGACCAAGCAGCAAAGCTGTATTTCATTGAATAATTTTCCACTCACTGAGAGCACAGGGATAGCCTCCTTGAAAGAAAGCACATCAAAATATATGAGAAGTTCACTGTAAAATGGCACAAAAGGCAAAGAAGCACCACAGTCTAAACCGTGGTCTATGACTGACACCTGCAGTATTTGCGAAATGTTCTACTGTCCAATTTCATAAAAGCTGCAACACACAAGGTGTGTGTAAAGCTGCCTATGATCACTCCAGTACTTCTAACACATATCAGCTTCCCCAAAAAGCATCTATCATTAAAAAACTCAGCAAAATCATCAAAAGTGCAAGAAACAAAACTGTGTTAGTGATGAAAGAGCAAATAATGTTGAAATTTTTGTTTTAAAACAACTTTAAATATAACATTTAAAAATTTTTAAAAGGGAATCTCCCCACCTCCAATAATCCTGATAAAGAACAACAATCTCTGAATGCTTACCATGAAATTCATATGCATTCGAGAAATGACTGTGCTTATACCAATTAAAACATAAATTTAAAAAAAGGTTTAAAAACCACAGAAACCTAAAATTTTATTTATTCCCCCATCATTATCTTGTAAAACACTATCTACATTATCAAATTTCTGACTACTGGCAAGTCCTGCATACGATAAAACAGATGAGACCACTGGCACATTTAATCTTTTCATGCCAAGGCCTAAAATTACAATGCAGCTGCTGTAGCAAAAAAATAATTCATTTGAACTGCAAAAAAAATATTGCATTATCAAATTTGCTGCAAAACTTCAGTAGTATTTTAATTTAGCTGTAGAACTTGCCAAAAAACAGTACAAATCCTGACTATGCAATTCAAAGAATGATATCTGATATTGTCAGGGCAAGCATGTTTCACTCACAGAGTGGTCATCAGTGCCTTGGTCACACTGCACCATTAACTATGCTCAAGGTAACATCTGTAGGCAGGTGATGAAAGTGCTGTTTCCTCCATCAGTGTAGACAGCTGTGAATTTGACTTTTTTTTGATACTGACTTTAGAACTGCCTTAGAACAATTATTTGGTGTATAATACTGCTCTTTCTCAGGAAAAGAGAAAGAAAAAAAAATAAAAATCCATCTGTCTGCAGTTAGAAGCTGAACTACAATGTTAGAACCAGCACCTATTTCTTAAATACAGTTAAGGTCCCTGGACCTGCAACTTTAGGGCACTGTCACACCATTTGGCAGCTTTGCACAACACCTACACTTGTACAGTCACCATTTCAAACAAGCTGGCAGTACAAATCGGCAATAGTGTTGGCCCGGCCAACAGGATGCCTTCCAGCTCCATCATCACTTTTCAAATCCAATGTAATGCTTGCAAAAATGCAAACAGATTCAAGTTCAGTAACTTTCTGCAGCAACACATTAATGAAGTCTTCTCTGCATGGATACCAAAGTACACAGACTACAGAATGAAGAACCTCAGCAATATGCTCTCCACAAAGGAGTTTTAAGGGAATTCACATGTAATCAGTAAGTTCATTTTTAAGTGATCTTGATCCATCTGCAAATTCTAAAACACTTACAGCTGGTGATGAGACAGGAGTAAAGGAGAATAATTTAAAATTTCAGAGTATAATAAGAATAGACTCTCCTCATAAAAGCTGGCAATAAAATCAAGTTTAAGGCTAAGAGAGCAACACCTGCAGTGTACAAATAAATTCTACCAGAAATTTCACCAAAGTTATTTCATTACAAACATCCCACAAGAAAAAAATACAGGAGTATGTAATCATACATAATATGAAGCACTAAAGAGAAGTAAAAACCTCCCTTTTTTTCCCAACCTAATTTAAAAAGATACTTTGCTTATGGTATAAATGTCTTCATACTGTATTACAAATACTTTCAAGGTCAAGTCACTTTCTTCTGCATTAACTGCAAATAAATCTGAACTTACCTCCCAAAGTGCTTTGAAGTCCTTCTGCTCAATTCGAAGGAGCTCACTATGTTCGCTGGTAACAATGGTAGCATGGCGAGGAGTGTTATCCAGAATGGACTCTCCAAAAGCAGTTCCTATTCCAAGAGTGCATATTGTCACAGCATCCTTTGATTAAAAAAAAAAAAAAGGACACATTAAATATTTCAGGATGTTTTGAGAGTCTTTGTGTCATATTTCCTAATAGCACTGCCTTGTGATTCTTCAGCCATCTGCTTAAAAAGTAAATTAATTTGTCAACAACAAAAAAATCAATATGCTGGTAAACAACATGGGAAGCTTTAATGTGGAAACAAGTGGGACCTCTGTTTTCTATGATCATCAGTTGAATTAGACATTTCTGAATGCAATGCTGAGAACACAAGAATCACCTTCATCTTTATAAAAAACTAGGATCTCTGTTCACCTAGCTCTAAACACCGCTGTGATGATGAGATCTTTAGAAATCTCAGGGGTGACGAGAACATAACAAGAATCAGAAATGCAATCTCAGAATATAAACTTCTGTCCGACACAGGCTACCCTCATCAGAAAGAAAATTAGCCTGCTATGTTTTCTGTTGTGTAAACAGAACTTTCAATTATAATATTCTCTTGTATTTATACTGCATTTCTCAATTGTACAAGCAATGTACCTGTACAGTTGAATCAATTCTTGGCCCATCTGTTGAAAATGCTAGCAAATCTTTCAATTGCTAATGGATGTTTGCCAATTAACTACCAGACCAAAAAAAAAAAAAAATTATATTCAAATAAATCAGGGATTTCAAGAAAACTATTAAAGTTCAAACAACCTGGAAAAACTCTATCCATGGACAGAGCAATAAGAAGGTCCCAAACAAGCAGCAAAGTCCACTTCAAAGCAGTCTATATGAGTACATGCCATTTTAAATGATGTCCAAATGAACCTTCCTTGGCCAGAAACTCCTCTGTAGTAGTTCAAATAAAAATTATGAGCTACTAAAGAAAAAAAAGTAGCCATTAAACAACTTGCAGAATCAAGATCTTTAGACACATGTTCTATATTCAGCTCACAAGTTGCTTTGTTCCCCATCACAGGCTTGAAGCTGAACATTCACACGTCTTTTTTCTGAGATGGGCCTTATCTGACTGTCTGTTAAGTGATTTTAAAAAAATTAGCAACAGCATAAAAAAATTTAAAATCATACAAACTGTAATTAACAAAGGAAAGCATATATGCAGACAGACAATTACACATAAACATATATAAACACTAATTTTATTCGATACAACATAGGTATATCATATAGTTTAAATCTAAAATGCAGGATTCATGCAACAGCTACAAAAATCAAAGTAGTAATGTTTGTTATCCTTGTGGCTGATAATGTAGGAGAGATGCATGAGTGTGTTTCAGCATCATTTTCTGGTTTTGGAATTGCATTGCTTTCCTTTCATGCATCTAATAAGTCATAATAGGCAAATGCTATTAAGATAAAGTTAGTAGCTTTGTAATTGCAATACAAAGACAAAAGCCCGTAATAGTCCAGTTCCCTGAACCATAGCAAATTACTCTTACACAGATGTTACCATATAAAATTGTGTGTTCAGGAAAACAAAATCAATTATGTCTCAGAGAGGATCTAGGAAAAATTGACCAACTGTCAGAAACAAATTTTCAAGGAAGGAAAGTAAGGAGAGATTTTCTTTCAAAGAAAGAATATTTGGGAATAAGCACCTAGGCACCTAAATAGAAGTCTCTACAAACAGACTATAATAGTTTTATATACTGAAATCTGCCTTCCCAAGCTTACATTTCAGAGCTGAAACAGCCTAGTATAAAGGAAACCTTTCCTATAGGTGGACCATAAACACTGTTTACATCTTCTAACTTCTTTCTCCCTCCCTTCAAAAAATAAAACTTATTTTAAACATTTCACCTTCTCTGACTGTTTACAACCCTAAAGAATAATTATTAATGACAGAACAAACATGAGAAGAGGGTCAGTGTTGGTTAAGAAACTACTTTATAAGATAAATTCTGATGAGGCAGCTGTTAAGCTTAAGAAATAAATTAACACTGTGGGGTGTAGGTCAAGAGGCTGGAATGGTCCTATCTACACTCATTAAAGGAAAGTCCAGGCTTCCATCAAGTTCTTTCAGATTTTTTCCCCAGCCATCACAGCTCTCCACAGAGATGCAGTTTCACAGCCAGCTGGGGTGCAGACCCATATGCCTTCTTCAAGGCTTCAGAGCCCCATTTTCTCACTACCTCTTGTTTACACATCTCCAGCCTCCTGGGGACTCAGGTGCGTTTCTTATTACGCCTGTTAACCTTACACTCAAGAATCTCCTGCTGTTCAGTGAAGACTTCAGGAGGATTTCTTGCAGCTTAAAACTCAGTTTGCTGTTCCCCTCTGCAATCCCAGAAGCAGCAGGGGGTTCTAGTGGCCGATAACCAGCTAACATTCATACAGCTATTTAAAAGGCAGTATCAGAGACTTAGAAAGATGAGATTGCTTCCATTGCTATCTGCCCTCTGTACACACTATAAAACAGTAGCCTTCAAATCAGAGGCTGTTTTTGTATTCAGTTCCACTGACTCTTACTGCCACATGAGACACATGTAGGGAAAGCATTCTTAAAACTTTCCCTCACCCCCCATCAATATAAAACATTATTGAATTTGCAAGACCATTTTATGGAGTGGATGAAAATCAGAAACAAGGCTCTGTTTTATTCCCTCCCCCACTATCTCAAGGATGATCCCATATCCTCCTCCTTGACTTGTGACCCTTTCTGCTTCTCAACTTGGCAAATAGAATTTTTGTACCGTGTGTAAATAAAATCATGGTGTCAGAGAAATGAAGAAAACAGGGAAAAACATTACTGGTGCTAGGCTCAAAGGGATTGGGGACATTTCTTTGAAATTTTAGTTAGTTTAACATTTTGAGTTTATAAGGGAGCTGATGTAGCTAAATTGTTTTTTATTTCATCATTTTCCTACCCCTTGCATCTTTATCTCACCTCTGCATCTGTGTCTCTCTAGGACATCATACTATCTCTATGTTTATGGAGTTTTACAAAAGCTGGTATTTTGAGACGTTTGCTTATAATTATTTTGATTCAGTTCAGTTTATCCTCAGTAAAAATTTCCTTTTATAACAGAGAAACCAAGGATATACATGAAAGTAAATTATGAAGTGATTTTTCTGTTCCATTACCTGAGTGTTTCAGCCATTCAAGAAATCCTTATCAAACTATTTCTAATCATAACATGGAAATACCTTTAGAAGACACTAAAACTGCAGTTTGCAAACATGTTAGGCCACTCTCTTTAAACAAAACAAGGTTTTGCTTAAAAGAGGCATTATGCTTCTACAGAAACTGAGCAGCTTCTCTTCTAGTACCTAATTAAAATATGTATGGTTCAGATTATACTGCAATACCACATTCATTATTTCTATACCTTTCTATCTGATCTTCTAAAAGCTACCTACAATGTCTTAGACATTTTCCTACATCACCTGGCAGAGAGAAGTGAGACAATTTTTCTATACTAACTTCCAACAAGATAAATTCAAACCAAAATTATCACAGCCACAACAGTGTGGAGCTCAGCATAAGCCAACACACTCTGCTTCTCAGTTTACTACATTAGTTCAGCCAGTCTCTGTGTTATAATGGTACAGCAGTTTTCACACTCAAACTAAATAATTTAAAGCTAGTTTAGGCATATTTATACTACTAACCACAGCACAAACCTATGTCACAACTTCACATAGGTTATCTCCAAAATCCATAGTGGCATGCTGAAAGCAGTATTGCAGTATTGCAAGGACTACTCTATTTAAATCCCTTTCCTTGATGCCACTTCATTTTATCACATACCTCCTTTGTCCTCCATTTCAAAGGGCTGTGAAATTCTTCCATTTCTTCCATGAACACCTGAACCTTTCTTCACAGTCATTCCTCTCAGCAGCCCCACTAACTTACTTGTCTTTTCATCCCCAGCCCTTCACCTCTTCTTACAGCTGACACTGCTGTCCCATCCAAGCACTCACAGGTCCACCTTTAAAGCTTTTCTAAAAAAGGCTAATTATTTCTTAAGTCAATGCCTTATGTTCAGTTTGGTCTGTTTTTAAAAACTGACCTCCTTAAAGAACTCCACCATAACATAGACAAGATAAGCTGGCAATAGGCCCTGGCACACACAATGATTCAGCTGGCAAAATACAGCAAAACTGCAGATCAAATTGCTATTTGGTCCTCGTCTTTCTTCTCTTCATTCCTTCATAGTTTATCAGAAAAATCTTTGGGGTAAAAGGCTCTGCATCTAATTCAAAAATCACAGTGTTGCAGAATATGACAGCAATGTAACACTGATGCTTTTGTCATAATGCATTTATCCCCAGCTTTATTCTGAAACATTGCTAACAGTCATCCTTAGACTGTTCTTCTTCAAAACTATGTTCAAAAATAAAACATACACAGGGCAGTCAGCAGTGTTTTTAAGACAACACCAAACCAGGAATATCACTAAGAAGAACTTCTATTACTAGAAGTTACTATTCTTATGAGTGGGAAGGTGATAATACCAAATAAAAATGAAATTCAGAACCTGATCATAATTGAAGATAAAGACCTCTTTCTAATATTTTCTACAGAGGCTGCATTTTCTGTTTATTTTGAAGGTATCTTTTCTATGGTTTTTCTATGACTTTTAAGTACTGTATTTATCAAGGTTTCTGTTACAAACAAGTTGAGGCAAGATCAAAATAGTTCACTACCGTTACCTCTGGAATTCACAGTGAGACGTTTTCACCTTAGAAAAACTCCTCTTCGGTATCATCTTGATTGTTGAATACCCAGAAAAATCTGTAATTAGCTTGCACAGAGAGCAGATTCCACTCCGGATGAACTGGATGAGTAATCCTGTCAAATCTCTGTAGCCATTCCAGTGGCAGATGAAATTATCAGCACGTTTTACCAGCCCGATGGAACAAAACTAACAGTAACACCAAAATTGTCTCTGGCCAAACTCTTGAAAACCGGTGTGTATGGTAAATAGGCGAATACGATTTTTAAGGTATCCATTCCAGCGCAGAGCACTGCCTGCACTCGGGTTTGCTTTGTGTTCTAGCACTGCCCTCTCGTGACAGAACACAGCTTTGCAAGCAGAAAGGATTGTTCCAAACCACTATGAAAGCGAGGCTTTATGAGGTCCTAAATATCTGTCTCTATTAAAGCCCTTAAAATAACAGATGTAATAGCTCCTGTTATTATAATATTAAATAATAGCTAATACAAATATTTCTGTTTATTTGAATTCTCACCTTGGTCTTAATCAGTATTACTAGTATTTTCTGAGAGAAATCACAGACATCTACATTAGTAAGCTGCTGAGCAGAAAGAATGTTTGTGAATTAATACCTCACTAGCCACACCGAAGTCTTGATCCATTAGTACATTAAGATTTAATTTGTAGTGCAAGATATGTTCCTACATGCCTCTGTAGGAACAAAGGCTATTAAGACATTCTTAGTAAGGACCAAGTGCACAATAACTTACTGCACTTCTACTGGGAGAAAGCTACCAATCACCAAAGGTGACTGTGCAGAGAATAATCCTGTACATTTATATGAGTCTACAAACTTCTAAACTCAGGCAAATGTCTGTATCTCTCCTGCTCTGCTGGAAAGTCTCTCATTAGCATTAGTGCCATTTATGGTGTAATAGTAACAGCAGAGTGATTAGTCATTATTAGGACTTTGCAAAGGAACCCTTCACTCTGGGGTGATGTGATCGGAAAATGTGCTCCAAGCACCCTTTCATCTACACTGTCATCTACTCCCAGCTGGGAGCACAGTGCTGTCAGCTGAGTGTGCCAGGGCTGCCCCAACAGCAATACAATGCAAATTGCCTCCATCATCTGGGTTTGCAATGAGCATAGTAGGCAGGGAGTACCAGCAAGAATGCCTTCGAGAATGACCAGTACCATGCCAACAAGCAAGTACAGGCAAGACCAGAATCACATCCAGAAGCTACAGGCAGAAGAATGAGAAGGAGACCAAGAATGGACAAGAAGGGACGTGATATAAACAAGAAGTTGGAGCAAAACGAGAAAAAATGTTGCACTCAAATAGTATTTAGGACGACAAACATCAAAATTATCCAGACAGGAATGGTAAATGCATGGGCTACCATCTTTTTGGCAGTGAGGCTGTATTCTATGGCAACTAGGCAGTAGTAAGAATTCAGTTCATTGTTCATGTGAGAAGGAAATGTGATGTACGAAATAACTGCAGAATATAATTTCTACAACTAGAATTGTATGAATTGTAGTTCAACAGCTTCCTACTGGCAGGAAAATGAAGTTAACCTGAACAAGCAGAAAAAAATATTTACATTATATTAATTAAGAAACTGAAGTGTTCCATACTCCACGTAATGGAACAAATCAACACTCCAAAGAGATTCTTAATTTAACATCCAGATTGTGCAGATGTATTACTTTCTGGGTAAAGAGCATTGATTCTTCACAACAATGTAGTGCCATCTTTTGGCAAACACTGGAAAATCCTGATTGCGTTAGACCTGCACAGAAAAGGCTCTCCTAAAAGCCCAGTACTGTTCCAAACTGTGACAATACCAAACCAGGCCATGCCAAGAATTGCTCAAATTAAGCTAATTATACTCTCAATAAATCTCTACTTAGTACAGTGAAGAGGCTGCTAAAAATAATATGAAAGAAGTTCCTTTTGCATTTATCGTCCTACTGCAGGAAGCAGAAAGACCCAGCACTCAACACACTGCCTGGACTTGCATTCTGACCCAATCTCAATGGTAACGCGATGCTCAACAAAGTGAAAAAAATCCAGTTTCTGCTATGTGTAAAAAACTTTCCTCCATCAGCCAAACTTCGGGCAAAGAATACACCACCACCATCCCCCCTACACATGCTATACTCAGTCCAGGCGGGGAAAATGGGTAGTGGTCTCTATCAGGTCCTGGGTAGCTATACTACTCAAGTGAAGGCACAACAAGCCCCTTATTGGAAGTACAATCACATGCTGAGCTACATCATGGGACAATCACCAATCTCAAACATGGGAGCAGGGAATGGACAGGATGCTTTCCCAGAAGACTAAGTTCACAGCAGCAAGTACACGACTTGTCAGCATGACATTAGACAACATGGACAGGAAACTCTAGGAGAAGTATCTCATCCTTTTGGATTTTTATTTACTCCAAATTTAATAAATCCAGGAGCACCAATGTACTGAGAAACCACTTTAAATTTGGGGAGAATTTTACTTGTTCTTCTATTTCTTAACGCTGATTAGGTATTACCTATAGGCTTCTTGTCTAGCATGGCAGCAGTTGCAATAGTCTGCTATTACTACAGTACTTGCCCATTTCTGCAGTGGAGACTGCATTATGCTGTTATCAGACAGCACTGTTAGCAGGTTCATTTTAAACTTCCTGAACAAGAACTGAATTAAAATATTTCTAGTGAATGAATTAACAGCTCTCTGAACTTCAGTGCAACTTCAATAGCACTACTAGAAAAGACAAAGGAGTCATAATTCACATTAAAATGTAGACTAATTCCTGAGCATTATATTTCAGTTTCTTGAAATCCTTGGCATGATTTGCCTTCCTTATACTAAAGACAACTGAGACTTAAAGAGACTCAGAGAAACATACGCATCCTTGTGATATGACAAAATATCTATCTGTACAGAATGTGTCATTATCTACCTCACCATAAATTATATTCTTTCTTTGTACTACTGACTGGATGGTTGCAATGAAAAATCTATTTTACCTGGTGGTTGCTTGTATCAGACACCTTCACATCCAGTGATCCTGTCAGAACAGCATACCAATTCGTCCCAATATCACCCTGACGGAATACTGGAAAAAGGAAATCTTGTCAATAAGAGCTATCACTTTCAGTTTAGCAACAGTAATCAACATTTTCTCACATCTTACTGCAATGCCGCAGTCACTGGTGGCACTACACAATTTGCCACATGAGATTACTGATTTACTATTACAGTAATATTTCCAATGACACTGGAAAGCACATATTTTAGTAAACTAGTCAATACACTATGGAAACAATGAAAGCACATACAACCACTTCACTCTTCTCCCAAGTTTACTTCTGTTCTACTGTTCTCTTAGTTAATTAACCAACCAAAGAAACAAAATAAACAAGGAAAAAGGTTTTCTGAACAATGTCCCTTTGAAATTCATAATCTTCCAGTGCAGACACAGCTACCACTGAACTCAGTAAGAGTTCTGGCTGAACAGCAACTGCAAGACTGATGTCCAAGCATTCCAGCTGTGTGATTACAGAGCATCAAAATCACTGCTACTCTAAGCAAACCCCAGTGTTGCATGCCAGATTTGCCTGAGGTGTTTCTGAGACTTTACTAATACCACAGGCTTTCACCAGTTATTCCCCTGGTACAGATTCCCACCACAGGACTACCACTTATTTCCATCTCAGCTTCACAGACCAAACACAGGTGTCCACCTACATCTGGCCCACAGGCTCCCAGAGCAGGCACAGCGCTGTTGCACCCCACAGCAGTTTGTGGCTCTGCAAGTCTGGCTTGTGCTAGCCAGGGTGCCTGGAAATCACACACTATCAGTGATGTGCCTTGCTGATACACCTTTGCCCCTGACAGCACAAAGCACTGGCAAAAGCAATCAATAATACATTTGCAGGGGAAGAATGAGGCTTAAGTCCAATGACTGGCTTGTAATCTTTCAACAGAACAGTGGTAGAGTCTTACATCCTACTGTATGCCTTGTTACCATAGATTCACTACATACTCATTTGTAGAGCAAGCAGCACTTTAGTCCTGCCTTGCCCCATGATTGTAAACGTTCCACTGATTCTGCTCTCATCAATCTCCTAGAGACAATCACAGTCTAACCCCCAAGTTTATCTACATAAAATACATAACCATATGAGGCTGTCTTACATGTGATTCCTTTTTCCAGATTTTCGTAATATCCACAGAGACATATCTGCTGGAGAAGGTTTGGATGAAATTTCTCAAAAGCTTTCACTTCTTTTAGTCGTGTGAATATTATATCTACATCTTCACTAGAACGTTCCAAAGGCCTGTAAGGAAACAAGAGACAACATTCTCAAGGGCTTTATCAGAGAAACATCCCCACCTGTATGTACTGAACTTACAAATGTTTGCATTAAATTACAAATGGTTGCATTAAATATCACACCATAATATAAACAAATTAAAATGCATTTTGCAACTACATAATGAAATCCTTCCAAGACATCCTAACAACTGCCCTTTATCAACAATGATTGTTATCATTTCCACACCAGAGTGTCCAGGAGTCCATTTAGCACCAGTCTTGATGCAGCATCACTGTAAAAGTATATATGATGATACAGTCCTTATTCTAAAGACATAAGAATGATATATAGTTACGTTTGTAAGAAAATATTAACTAACAGATGTCCAAACACACAAGAGGTCTGTGGAATCAGTGCCAAAACAGATGCTCTCTATCTGGCAAAACGGGAAGCATTAGTTACCAACAGTAACTCCTACATCCAAGCTTCTCTTCTGCATTTTACTGACTACAAACTGACTTTCCTCTTCTCACTTGGAAGGAAGAAGGATAACTTCAATAAGTATATTCCACAAAGTTTCTGTCTCTTAGTGTTGGACAAATTAAATATGCAAGCAAGAATCTTAATTTTTCATTGGTAACAGTCACAAGTTTTAACTCAAATGTTTAAAATATTTACAATCTTTGACAGCAACACCTTTTAAAAAAACAAGTTTTCAAGAGAAATAAAACTAGAACTCTCTACAACAAAGCAGCACGTAGACCAGCAGTTCAGCAGGTTCAGCATATTATACATATTTATGAAAATAAAGTGAATTAGATCTGTAACACATTTTAAATATGATTATCAAATATTATGAATCAGCAGGTAAGCCAAACACTAGCTGACAGCATTATAAAAGACTAAATATAAACCATTAAGGACAGAAAGAAACAGATTTTTCCTAGAACATCATGCTGGATCAGATGCAGAAATTATTCATGTATAAAGGCATAACAGAAAGAAAGACAACTGTTAGCAATCATTAGACCTATCACTCACTCAAATGTTTCTAGTTAATTTTACTGACAAAAATGTCCTTACCAGCTGATGAGCTCATAAAGAACAGAAATCATGTAGCTACAACGAACAAAGATTGAGTTCACAAATACGTATCTTTATTCACCTTATTGTTATACCCACAGTGTAAGCACTCCATCCAACGAGATTTTTTAAAGACTCCTCTTTGAAATCAAAGACTTCAAGGAATCCAAATCTTTGTCTCAGTGGAGAAGCCCAGATCATACTTGCATAGAATCTCTGTATCTCATTTTTCTTATTAAATTACGTCTAGGAGGGATTAAATCTCTATCCTCGATTATACTCCTTTACCCTTATTAGCTACAGATGAGAATAATAATTCTCTTGTGTATGCAGTTGCTTCAACATCACAGTGACATCCTCTTACCACTTCAAACTACAATCAACTACAATAGTTCCCTTTTGAATTATTTCAAGTAAGATTTTCACCCATTTCTTTTTTTCTTGACTGTGCACAAGCTGACAAGTACTAATAAGCATTAACTCTCTTGTCAAAATCCTTTTAAGAAGATTAGGAGGTGCAGCTTGCAAACAGATTTACAATCTACTTATACAAGATCCTTACCCAAACTACACTAACTCTTGAAACACTAACTACCTTAATTTATGGACTCTAAAAATAACAGCAAAACCCAACAAGTCAAACAGGTGAGATCTTTCTCAGAAAATCATCCAGTTCATGTTTTAGCTGTTTGGTTAAAATCATGAATTCTTACTCATAAAAATTAGCAAAGATTCGACTTGTTTGACAACAAGATGCCTTTGGATTTTTTTCAGAGCTCCTAGGAAATGTCCTCAGTGTTGAGGAGTGAGGAATTAACAACAGGTATCCCAAGCTGAGGTGGCCCTTGTCCTTAGGAGCATAAGAAATTTTGCCTGTGTAAAATTTCAGGCTGTAATGTAGTAATGGTATTAGTAGCACTCAGGCTCATTTCTACCAAGTGTTTATAATCTATAGCAATGAAACTGGTTTCAAAAGCCAAGCATTACTTACTGAGAAAAATGTACCGTGCCATCAATTAACTGCTTTTCCACAAGCCTGCAAAACTCAGGCAAAGTTTGACCACTTTCTACAAAGCATCTTTTAATAAAATTATCATTATGGTAACTTGTAATTATCATTACCTTGACATTAATTATCATTAGCTTAACATTAATCTATTTATGATGCCAAATTTGTTTTCTGTTTCCCAAGTACAAGCTGCCTAACCTGGACTATAAACAGGACAGGACAACATAAATTTATTTCTTCATCACAGCTATCTTATTGTAAACTTGTTTTTTGTAAAGCTTAGTTCGGAGTAATACTTAAGCAGCTAATGTTGTAATATAGTCCTTAGAACCATAATGATTCAATCTATTAAAACAAAAGTACTACTGATGGCAGATGGAGAATTAGTCAAGCTTTATTTTCACTGTAGTCACATGAATTTAAAAAGGCAATGGTATTAATCCAAAAAGGAACCATTCCCCAGAACACGAAGATAGGCTGCAAAAGTCCCAAGAAATATCCCTACACTCCCAATATGGTTCCAAAAGCCCTTGGAAAGAGTTTTCCAGATACCTCAGCAAAGTATCTAAAGTCAGTTCTCTGTGATCACCACTGTTGTTCAATCTCACCGAGTTTTGCCCTCCTCTGCTAAATTTCTGCTCATGTAGATTTATTTCTGTTCTGTCACATTGATGCTGATGCTACTGAAGTATCCCTTCACTGCTGATGCAACAGAGTTACAATCTTACATCCATGAGCAAACAAAGTCAAAAAATGCATTTCAGTAAGTCTTCAGCTAAAGATTTTCTGCTAAAGCTTCTGTCCTGCACCCATTTCTGAAATCTCAAGACCAATGTATGGAATTAGGACCATAGGCTAATCTAAAAGTGTGAATAAATACATTAAATCATTTAAGATTCTTCAGCTCTCATTTGGTAGATGTAGGAGCTAAAGTCAAAGCATTTTCAGGCAAGGCCACCCTTCTTGCAGAAAATCTATGACTCCATCCCAGTGAATCAACTCGTCCCTAGACTACGCCACCCAATATAAAATAAATTTTAAGTCAAACTGTGGTGACATCTCATTTCACTGTAGCCAAAGCCAAGGGGGCACTTCTAGAGTTGCAAAGCAGGGCTACCAAATAAATTATAAGGAAGGGATGAAAATAAGGAGTAATTTATTTTCACTACCTTACAAGGCTTTCTGCTTTGTTTGACCCCAAAATACCTTCTTGTTTATATTACTAATCTGCCTCTTCAGAGCACAGTAAGTGATTAGCTGACAGTAATGTTTTCATACAAGACGTCATCTGCTTCTTCAATACAACATCACAGCATACATATAAAAGTGACAGCATCAATGCTAGTTACGCATTTCTATTCAATTATGTCAATAAGGTTTCTTTTAAAGATTATTTTACTCCTCCTTATTTAGATGTGAAGATTTCAGGAGCGTGTTTTATAGAGATTAAACAACTTTCTTGACAATGTCTGCTTCACTACCTGTAAGAGGCAATTATAAAGAAAATCTGCCCAAAGTCTGTGCTCATAAGGATGTTAAGCTCAACATGAGCTGACAGTGCTGGCAGCCCTGAAAGCCAACTACATTCTGGGCAGGATCAAAAGCAGCATGGCCAGCAAGTCCAGGGAGATAATTCTCTCCTTCTACTTTGCTCTCATAAGACCCCATACGGAGCACTGCATTCAGCTCTGGAACCCCCAACACAGTAAGGATGAGAACCTGCTGGAACAAGTCCAGAGGAGGGCATGAAGGTGATCAGAGGACTGGAGATCCTCTCCTATGCACACAGGCTGAGAGAGAAATGTCCAAGGAGATTTCGGAGCACCTTCCAGTACCTAATGGTGGCTGCAAGAAAGCTGGAGAAGGACAAGACCTGTATTGACAAGTCAAGGGGCAATGGTTTTAAACTGCAAGAGGGTAGGTTGAAATTAGATATTAGGAATAAATTTTAAATTCTGAGGGTGGTGACGCACAGGAACAGTTTGCCCAGAGAGACTATGGATGTTCCATCCCTGCCAGTGTTCAAGGCCAGGTTGGCTAGGGCCCTGAGCAACCTGGTCTATTGGAAGCTGTCTCTGCCCATGGCAAGAGGGGTTAGAATGAGACAATCTTTAAGGTCCCTTCCAATCCAAGCCATTGTATAAGTCTCTTATGTATTTTTAAATGCAAACTACTTGAGCTGGAAGTTCAAATACAGACAGAGGATAACTGCTACAATTCTTCAAATACACAAGCTGGGTAAAGTATTTCTGCTCACGTGTAGTATATATAGCTTTATAAAATAACCTGTTTTGATGGTTTCAAGATTAAGTATTTGAATGTTTATGTAGGATGTTATGAAAAACTTGTTAACATAGAAGAAAGAAACAAGTTGGAGTTCTTTTGTTTGCTTTTGAAAACTTAATCCAACTATAACCTATCACTTTCTGTTACCATATGTCCTTTTTTTTAGGTTCTTTCCCATAGTGGGTTTGACATTTGAGAAACAAAAACCAGAATATATGTGGTTTTACCTTCTTTACCAAGATCCCTCTAGAATTTTAAAATGTTTATTTCTATAAGATGAGTTCAAAAACCTGAATTGTGCTCTAACAGAATGAAAGCATTGAATTTCCGTCCCTTGCTCCTTTTAACTTTTTAAAACAGCAGTATTTCAATTCAGACAGCAATGAACAGCCCACAAAAGATGAGCAGATGGATCTATTTCTTCCACTATTGAGAGGATCTATTTCTTCCACTGTTGAGACTGTTTGTAGAGAACACTAGAACAGACAAATAAAACGAGTTCATTGCTGGGTTAAAACCGAAGTATCAATGCAAAGATGCAAAAGCAAACTCTGTGAGCTGGAAAGTACCATTAATAATACTTTAAAATATATTCCGCTGTGAAATATGAGCAAGGAGATAGCACCAAGGAATGCCAATTAAA